GCCCGCTCCCCCGAGTGCCCGCTCCCCGAGTTCCCGCTCCCCGAGTGCCCGGTGCTCGTGTCCGCAGCGTCCCGGTTCATGGCGTACCAGCGGCCGCTGCGAACGTCCCAGGAGTTCACCGCCGCGCTGCGCGCCGCCCGCGCCCTGGCCGAGCGCATCACCCGCACCCTGCGCAGGGTGCCCGGCACCGACCCCGCCTTCCGCGTCTTCCCCTACACGTGAGTGGGGGGCCCCGGGCACGGCGGGGACCCCCGGGGGCTGGGGGGGTTACGGTGCCCGCTCCCGGTGCCCCTTCTGCCCCTCTTGGGGGTCTCAAGTGGGTCAGGCCCCAGTGGGGGTGGGCAGTTTAAGGGTGCCCATCCTGGGGTCGGGGGAGGTCCCAACTTGGGGGTTCCTGGTTGGGGGTGCCCAGGTCAGAGAGCCCATCCTGGGGTGCCCCGGTGCCCTTTTTGGGGGTCGCAAGGCGGGGCTTAGAGGAGGTCCCAACTCAGGGGTGCCCAGGTCAGGGGTGACCAGTTAAAGGATGTCCACACTGGGATGCCTGGTGCTGCTTGGGGGTGCCCGGTGCCCGTCTCAGGGTCCCCGGTGCCTGTTTTGGGGTCCCCGGTGCCCATCTCAGGGTCCCCGATGCCCATCTCAGGGTCCCTGATGCCCATTTTGGGATGCCTGCTGCCTGTTTTGGGGTGCCCGGTGCCCACGTCAGGGTCCCCAGTGCCAGGCGCGGTGCCAGCGTTGCTGTCCCCGCAGGGTGACGTACGTGTACCACGAGCAGTACCTGACGGTGGTGTTCGAGGGGCTGGTGACGCTGGCACTGTGCCTGGTGCCCGTTTTGGGGTCCCTGGTGCCCGTTTTGGGGTCCCCAGTGCCCATCTCAGGGTTCCCGGTGCCCGTTTTGGGGTCCCTGGTGCCCATTTTGGGGTCCCCAGTGCCCATCTCAGGGTCCCTGGTGCCCGTTTTGGGGTGCCCGGTGCCCGTTTTGGGGTCCCCAGTGCCCATCTCAGGGTTCCCGGTGCCCGTTTTGGGGTGCCCGGTGCCCGTTTTGGGGTCCCCAGTGCCCATCTCAGGGTTCCCGGTGCCCGTTTTGGGGTGCCCGGTGCCAGCGCTGCTGTCCCCGCAGGGTGACGTACGTGTACTACGAGCAGTACCTGACGGTGGTGTACGAGGGGCTGGTGACGCTGGCGCTGTGCCTGGTGCCCACCTTCGCCGTGTCCTTCCTGCTGCTGGGCCTGGACCTGCGCTCCAGCCTGGCCACGCTGCTGACCATCGCCATGGTGCTGCTGGACACCGTGGGCTTCATGGCGCTCTGGGGCGTGCCCTACAACGCCGTGGCGCTCATCAACCTGGTGGCGGTGCGGGCACGGAGGGGACACGGGGACGGAGGGGACACGGGGGACGTGGGGTGGCACGGGGACGCGGGGTGGCACGGGGACATGGGGCACGTGGGCTGGCACAGGGACATGGGGTGGCATGGAGATGTGGGGTGGCACAGGGACGTGGGGCATGTGGGGTGGCACGGGGACACATAGGGTGGCACGGGGACATGAGGTGGCACAGGGACATGAAGTGGCACAGGGACATGGGGCACGTCGGGTGGCACAGGGACACGTAAGGTGGCATGGGGACATGAGGTGGCACAAGGACGTGGGGCATGTGGGGTGGCACAGGGACTTGCAAGGGAGCACGGGGGGACTTGGGACACACAGGGGGACACTGACCTGGGACAGGTGAGTGGCACAGGGACACAGGACACGTGGGGTGACACTGGGACACGTGAGGTGGGACACGGGGTGGCTCTGGGGGCACAGGAGGTGGCAGCAGGAGCTGGGGCATTCGGGGTGGCACGGGGCCCGTGGGTGACACGGGGCCGTGGGGCACAGGGGGTGGCTCTGGGGACACAGGGGGTGGCTCTGGGGACACAGGGGGTGGCTCTGGGGGTGACAGCCCGGTGTCCCCACAGGCCGTGGGCATCTCGGTGGAGTTCGTGTCCCACATCACCTGCGCCTTCGCCCGCAGCCGCCAGCCCACGCGGGTGGCACGAGCCGCCGAGGCCACTGTCACCATGGGCAGCAAGGTGGGCACGGGGACACCGAGGGACACCAAGGGACCCCAAACCCTGCTGGGGCTGGGTGTGACCCCACGGGACCCCAAACCCTGCTGGGTGTGACCCCAAACCCTGCTGGGGGTGACCCCACGGGACTCTCCCGTCCCGGTGCGCGATGTCACCGGCGGTGGCCGCTGTCCCCGCAGGTGGTGGCGGGGGTGGCCATGACCAACCTGCCGGGCGTGGTGGTGCTGGCGTTCGCCAAGGCGCGGCTCATCCAGATCTTCTTCTTCCGCCTCAACCTCATCATCACCCTGGTGGGGCTGGCGCACGGCCTGGTCTTCCTGCCCGTGCTGCTCAGCTACATCGGTACGGAGCGTGTCACCGCTGGGGACAGGGA